AACTGTGAGGAATGGGCTTGTGAGGTTCAGAAGAGGAGCCCTCCCCTGGAACTGGGACCGGAGGCCGTTCATGTTACATTCTGGCCGACAATCTGTCTACGTTCTGCTCATGTCCTGAGAAGCTTTGTGACGCTGAATTGAAAGATGAGGTACTGATCAGTGTGGCGGGGGAATTTACAGGCAGCACAGCACTCGGGGTTGGCATCTAGGTGACTGGCAGCTCTCAGGTTTCCTGTGATCATCAGGGGCAGAAAACGATCAGAAAGTTTTGAAAATTGCAATTTGGCCAGAAAAATGTAAGTAAAACTGTGGCGAAGGAAAGTGTAATGGTTAAAGAGATGAAAACCACTAGAGAAACGCTAAGTACTTGCCCCAGAAACAGTGGGAAAGAGGGCTTGGGAGCATTTCAGGAATTGGCAAGACCACCCCCATCTCAGGCTCGAGGGTGCAAGGGTGAAACTTATCTGAGACTGCAGGGCACCCTTCTGCACGGCGGGCAGCTGAGGAAGTTCTCGCCAGGCTTGGCCACCCTGGTACTCATGGAAAAGACCGGCGAAACGTCGCGGAAGAGACCACAAGAGACTGTCTTATGCAACAGCAGAGGGTGGGTTGATTTGGAGACCAGCATGCTGGGGCCCGAGCTCTCTATAGCAAAGAGAGATAGAGCCCTGAGAACCGCTTGAGCAGAGCTTATATACTTTCCCTGGAGAGGGCAGGGAGGGAAGTTACATTTTGTAGTTTGGCAGTTGGGGACAGCTCATTCTGGGAACAAGATTAGCAGACAGTTATGAAGATTTCAACAGTGCTTTGTTAAGCATATAGAGAAACGGAGTGACAAGTACCTATTTTATTAACCTTTCACTCAGAGGCTGCCACCACCATGGTGCAGGAGGACTGGCGGCTGCCGAGGTGCCGCAGCCCTGGGAGTCACCTGCTCCAGGTGGTTGCTGGTTCTGCAGGAATAGAGGATGCTGGAGCAGGGTGGTGTGGACTCCCGTGAGATTTCCAAGGCAGGCCTGGGAGGCCAGGCCTAGCAGGGCGCCTGTGGCTGCTACTGAGGGAGCGAGGGGGGACCGAGAGGAGCTGGAGCTGCAGTGGAGACCCTGAGCGGAAAGGACACAGTGTGTGCACCACCTCTAAGGAAAGTGGCAGAAACCCAGCAGAAAAGCCGAGAGCATTGGCCTGCACCCACAGAACCCAGGGTGAAACTGCAAGCCTGTGGGAAGAAGACACACAGCTGCGCGTGAGCTTCAGGACCTGCCGCCCCGCGGGTTTTGGTGGTTTTTGGCCCCTCCCTTCTGTCGTGCCCCAATTTCTCCCTTGTGGAACGGGAATATTCACTCTGTGTCATTATACATATTGAACATAGGAAACTCGCGGTTGGTTTTCCCAGGAGCTCAGGCTGCGAGTTTGCCTGAGTCTCGGGAGATTCTGCACTTGGACTTCTGGGAAACGCTGGGCGTGTTGAGACTATGGGGACTCTTGAAAATGGGCTAGGTGTGTTTGGCACTGGGAGGTACTTTGGTTTAGAGATCAGGTGTCTGGAAAGCTCACGTGTGAGACATGGCAAGAATGTTCAGGGCCAAAATGATTAGCTGGTGAGGGCGGTGACCCCCAGTGGACTAACCCACTGACAGAGATGAACTGGGTGGTAACTGAAGTCAGGTAGGGTGTGGCTGCAGGAGAGAGGTTGCCAGAAGCTTCCCTTTGGGGTTACACTTCGTCCCTGGTGAGCAGAGCCCTCTCTGCCTCCTGTTTGCCGTGCCCCGAGCCATTTTCCTCCTTCACCCTGCCTCCGTGTGTCCTGCCTCCCTGGGGTCCAGAGGAGCGGCCCCTCTGTGGACTGAGACCTCTGAAACCGTGAGCCCAAATGAACTTCGGCCTCTGTGTTGCTCTTGTCAGGTCTTGTGGTCACGTGACAAGGACAAAGTTGACTGGTACCTGCCTTTTCTCCTTGTTCATGTACATCAGTTTATTCCAGTGAAGCCTTGGAGAGCCGTGGGGACACTTTCCTTCACCTCTACACCTGTCACACATGGCCACCGTCAGTGAAGACGTTAGTTACCTCCAACAGGAGGAAAATTTGCCTGCCCTGTGAAAATTTTAGCTGCGAAATGCTAACTTTCTTTTTCTCTTCTTTCTTTTCTTTTTTTCTTTTTTTGTACCAGGGGTTGAACCCAGAGCTGCTCAACCCCTGAGCCACATCCTCAGCTCATTTTGTATTTTATTTAGAGACAGGGTCTTACGAGTGGCTTAGGGCCTCACTAAGTTGCTAAGGCTGGTTTTGAACTCACAATTCTCCTGCCTCAGCCTCCTGAGCTGCTGTGACTACAAAAATGTGGTCTGCCATCTAACCATTAAAATTGTAAAAAGTTGAATTTATTCCAACACCTAGAAGATAAATTTTGACCACCAACAGAATTTCAACATATACTTCAGCCTCCATAACTCTGGACTCATATTATATCGAAGTAATGTATGAACCCACATGATCCCAGTTAAAATATCAGGCTTTTTAAGCATAGAATTATATAATGACTTAAATAACAAAACAGCGGGAGTATTTTAAACACCTGTGCATGCTAGCTCAGTTACTGAAAGGAAAGTGACCACAACACTCGGAGCGACCAAGAGATCTTTATTGCAGCAGTGCAACAGAGGAGAAAAGAGAGAGAGGAGAGGGAGAGAGAGAGAGAGAGAG